CCCCAAAACCCCAAAACCCCAAAACCCCAAAACCCCAAAACCCCAAAACCCCACTAAATTTATAAAAATTGAAAAAACACGATCATGGGCAAGACCAAGCCAAAATCCTCCAAAAAGTCCAAAAAAGAAGTAAGTTTTCCCCCAAAATCCCCTTTATTCTTCCTCCCCAGTCCTACAAATTTGTTCTGGCTTAAAGTTTACTCTAGAAGAAGGAGAAGAAGAGTAAGAAGGATAAGAAAGCGAAGAAGTTAAAGAAACTTATGCAGAAGAGAAAGGGAAGTAGCGAAGAGAGTGATCAAAGTGAAGAAGAGTTTATACAGAAAGTATTGGCCAAGAAGAAGGAAGCGAAGAAGGAAGTGGAGAAGGAAGTGAGTGAACAAGAGAAAGATAGGGAGAGTGCTAGTGAGCAGGAGTGTAGTAGTGAAGAAGAGAAAGTGGAGATTAAGGAATGTGAATTTTTAAAGGAGCCTGAGGTAGTTCCAGAGCCAGTCTCAAAGGTGGAGAAAAAGACCCATACTTTGTCCATTGTGATTCCAGCTTCGATCATTGATAATGCCCAAAGTTTTGAGCTTAAAACTTATCTTGTCTGACAAATAGCAAGAGCTGCTGTGATATATTGTGTTGATGAGATTATTATTGTTGAAAGTAGAGGTAGATATTCGAGTTCTCTTGCAAAATCAAATCCTACTGAATTTTTTGTAAGGAATTTAGAATATCTTGAAACACCTCCTTACCTTCGTAAGGCTCTATTTCCAGTGTGTCCAGAATTGAAATTCTCAGGATTAATGAACCCTCTTAATACCCCTCATCATTTCAAGCCGGATGAATGGAGTCAATTTAGAGAAGGAGTAGTGATTAATCGTCCGAGCAAGAAAGGAAATGGGTCTTGGGTATCCACTGGCCTCAAAAAGGATACGCAAGTAGATCTCCTAATAGAAGAAGGTAAGAGTATTCTTTCATACTTAGGAACCAGAGTTACTGTTAAATTCCATGAAACAGATTTCACAAAGAAGAAGCGTAATTTTATCATTTAATTCTTAGATTATGAAGGAACTGTTGTCTCAACTGAGGAGGCTAGTCAAGAACTCGACAAATATTGGGGATATACTGTTAGAGTTGCTGAAAACATCAACCAATGCTTCTCAGATAGCCCTTATGAAGGAGGCTACGATTGCCTCCTTGGTACCAGTGATAAAGGAGAATTCGTTGAAGATGCTGACTTCTCTCAATTCCAAGGAGTAAAGCATGCTCTGCTCTTCTTTGGAGGACTAGAAGGAATTGAAGGACTTATCGAACACGATGAGAGTGTAAATCTCCAACCAGAAGAAGCAGGAAAGTTATTCCACAAATATTTGAACACTTGTCCAAACCAGGGAACATGGACTATTCGGACAGAGGAAGCCATCCTTATATCTCTGTGTAAGATCTGCCCGATCTTAAATAAATATTAAAGTTCAGCCTGGTAGATTCCTGGTGGGGTTTTGGGGTTTTGGGGTTTTGGGG